AATGCTATTGTCTCAGCCTCCCCTCTGGAGGGTGGCTCCACAAAATCACCTTGGCAAGTAGCCCTTTCGTATCACTTAAGAAGTGTGTTCTCCCGGAGATCACTGATAAACACTTTACAGCCATTAGTTTTTTCCAAGGGATATTTACTGAAAAGAATCAGAGTAGAACCACCCTCCTCCCTGGGGGTGCGCTCTGCCCTCTCCCTGGCTCTGGGAAGGACACTTCTGCACGTGGCAGAGCCAGTGGGCAAGGGGCTCCTGTGCCCAAAGGACATGTCATATTGGTGGCCAGCTCAAGCTAGTGCTGGGCTGGGCCTCCCAGGCTGGCTCCTCCTTGGGCCGGGCCTCAGGCCGTTCTTCCAACCTTTCAAAGGCCTCCAGGTCATTCTTTCTCCAGTCTTCCTGTATTTAAAATCAGAAAAAATCAGAAAAAAGAATCCAGACGGAAGAGCCATGCCTGTCCTCAGAGCAGCTCAGTTGCGAAGAGTGCCAGGCTTCTCTCCCCACCCTGATGGAGGCGGACAGCATTTCTTTCCCTGGTCATCACTGTCACGGGGATCACCAGCGATCAGCCGGGGAAGAAAGAACTCACAAGGCCCATCTCTTGGTGGGGGTCTTTTTGTTTGCACTCTCACTTCTAGTATGGCAGCCCGTTACTAACAATGACCACCACCACCATCATGAGAGCTAGCACCTCCTCCGTGCCAGGCACTGTGCTCAGCACTGGGGCCACAAAGGAGGGCAAACACAGGCCCTGCCCTCGAGGAGCTTAAAATCGCATGGGGGAGGCAACGTGCAGACAAATACATACAGTGCAGGCTGTGTGCAGGATAATTGGGGAGTACCTGCCAGAGGCAGGATGCCGCAATCAAGGTGGGGGTTTGGAGCTAATGTGTGTAAAGCTAGAGAGAGGTCTTGGGAAAGTATTTGAAAAACTAGCCTGGGGAAGAGACTTTAGGATGCCCGGGATCATTGATTAAAAGCTGGCAAGGCCCAACCTTTCATTGTGCAGATGAGCAAGCTGAGGTCAGAGACCTGACCTAAGGGGCATGCCTACATCTCAAGGAGTCAAGCGGGGAGCCGGTGGGTTCCAAGGACTCTCTGGCTCTGTTCTGGGCTGACTCTTTCCCTGCGGAGGCCAGAGCTAGGAAGGGAGAGGAAGAAGGTAAGTTAGGAGTGAGAGGCAAAGACCCTTCCCAACAAGGAAATCTGTCCAAGGGGAGGGGCCGGGCTGGCTCTGGAGGGAGGCCTCCTCTCACTGGGGGCCTTCTAGGGGAGGCTGGCCACCACTTGCTGGACGTGTAGGTGAATGGGTTGGATTGGACAGATGGTCTGGAGGGCCCTCCGACTCTTATTCTGACTCAGTTTTCCTGCTTTAAGACCTAGAAAGGAAGATTTGTGGCCTAGGTTGTGTCTTGTTTCTGAACATTCAAATCACTTCACATCAGAGGATGCGGGCTGATGCACTCCTCTGCTTCCCTGGGCTCAGGAGGGCGGCCCTCCCAGAACAGAAGGACCACAGAGAGACGTTGACAATGACAGTGTGGAAAGGAGCAAAGGCGCCAAAGCTGAGACGGGAAGGCCCCCTGGGTTTCACACAGCTCAGGTTTCTGACGCCATGAAGTTCACAACTCCAGGGCTGGGCGACACCTTGAAGGACATCTAGTCTGACCACTTCATCTGGCAGAGGAGGACACTGAGGCCAGAGAGGTGAGGTCAGGGGTCACCAGCGAGGAAGCCTGAGACGCACAAGTGGGATCCAGGTTCTTGACACAGAATCCCATTCTGCCTCTCAAGCGTGGGGCAAGTTGACTGTGCAGACTCCAAGGCTTGTTACTTAAAACGCCAAGGTGAATTCTGAAGGGCCTCCACCCTGAGATGGGCCTGGCCTCCTCCAGAGTTTTATTGATCATGTGGCATGCAGAGCAGATTTGTGAAAGACAAACTGTGAGAAGCTGATAGACTCGTCTCACAGAGGAGGAATCCTGGTCCTGCTGGGCCACAGAGGATCTGTGTGCCCTGCCCTGGCATGAGGAAGGCCGTCAGCAGGCAGAGGACTCTGAAAACATGCGCGTCTGCCCTCGGTAATCCTGGTCCAGGAGGCAGGAGGAAGCACTCTGTCAGGGCTCGGAATTCCACGATCCCCATCAAACCCTGATTCAGTGCCTGAGCAAGAACAGCAAAGCCAGACACAAAAACAGTCACATTAGAGGGTGAGCTCCTTGAGAGCAGGGACTGTCTTGGGGACCTTTCTTTGTAATCCCAGAACTTACAGCAGAGTGCCTAACAAGCAGCAGGGGCTTAATCAATGCTTGATGATAATGAGAGCCCCACCTATGGGATTTCATTTCAGAGTTCAAGGTGCTAACCAGCAGCAACAGAGGAAGAAAGCCTCGGGAGGGTGGGCGGGCCCCAGGAATAGCCGAGAGGGAGGGGAGAAGACTCCGAGGGACAGGCTGCAGGGCTGAGCTCCATCGCCATCACCTCCCATCCGCCCATTCCAGTGGAACGGCTGGTTCTGCCTCCTTCTAATGGGGTGTTCTTCATCTGCAGCCTCAAGGATTGAGCCCTGAATGTCAGACAGTAGGATGGCCCCTGCTGATGCAGGCCTGGGGCCTGGGAGAGAGACTGAGGGTGGGGGATACAGAGACCCCGCAGTCATCTGCATTGAGCCGATGATGGAACCGTGGGAGCCCACAGGGAGAAAAGCCTGGCCCGGAATAGATCACCACAGTGCCGCAGAAGGCGGCATTCTGGAGAGAGTGCTGGATTTGGTGTGCAGCTTGCACCGATTTACTGTGTGACCCTGGACAATTCATTTCATAGCTTGGTGCCTCAGTTTCCCAACCTGTAGAATGGAGACAACCACACTCCCAAGGTCTCGGTGAGATGGGCGTTTTACCAAACCATCCCGATGTAAGTGCCATAGTCTAGGAGAGCATTTGAATGGGGAATCATCCTGGAGAAACTATAGTGTTGGAGCTTGGGAGGGCCCTGAAGAGGCCTCAATTCACCTCCCTTCCTGGAGGCTTTGATGGGGCTCGAGGGGAAGCCCCTTGAACACAGGGCCTGTCTTTTTTGACCTAGGTGTCCTTGGTGCCTAACGCAGCGTCAGGCACACGGGAGACAGGTAAGCAATGCTTCCCGCCTTCCTCTAACATCCCCCAAACCAAGAAGAAGCCGCCAGAATCTCAGAATTCTGAGGACAATCCTCAGGACAAGCTGTCACCTGCCTAATGCACCACAGCCTGCTGGGAGGGGGGCCCAGAAGGCAGCCAGCCCCCTGGAGGCAAGCCCTCATCCCAGATCTTGCCCCCAAGGCCCTGGCTGTGAAGCCCGCCCTCAGGGCCAGGCAGGACAAGCCTCATCCCTATCCTACCCAAAGATCCTCCTGGGCTGAGGGAGGTGGGGGACAGGAGGGGACCTAGGACTTGAGAACGGGACAGCTGTCTCCCCAGAGCAGCCTAGTCCAGGGCCACGTTGGTTTTTTCGCCACATTTCCCCAGGGATTTCTGGGGAAGTCAAAGACCTAGGTTCCTCCCCTTCACCCCCTAAGGTCACAGCTCCTTTTTTGGGGCCCTACATCTCCCACCTCCACGCCTTTCCCTGGGCTGAGACCTCTGTCTGGCGCGCCCTCCACCCTCTCTCCCAAGTTTTGGCATCCCTTCAGACTCAGTCAAGTCTCACCTCTGAGGACCCTTTCCTCCCCAAGACCTGGTGTCCAATTTGCATATGTCTGAGTATAGCTCCTCCCCATCAGACTGGGAACTCCTGGGGGGGAGAGGGGGCTGGCTTTTGACTTTCTTTGCATCTGCACTGAGCACAGGCCCTGACACACAGTAGGTGCTTAATTTATGCCTGTGCCTCCTCCTGGAGCCTAATTAATGCTTTTTGATGGGGGGGTGCTAATTCTGGCTGGGATTGTATTGTGTGACCTTAGGCAAGTCCCTTTCCCTCTCTGAGGGCCTCTCATCCCCCACCCGTTAAACGTGGGAGTAGGGTGAAGACTCAACAACGTCCAGTCTCTTTCCCTCTCCTTTCCTCAGTTTCCTCCTGGGTAAATCAAGGGTTTGGTATAGATGGTCTCTAAAATCCTTTGGGCACAAGGTCACGCGGACGGTCTGGCAGGGAGGTGTCTCGTCCAGCCCCCGAGGGAGGCTTCTAGGATTCTCGGACTCAGCTCAGCTGTGTTGCCTCGGGCAAGCCCAGCACCCTCTCTGGGCCTGGGCAGTAACAGCTGAGTGAGGAGGCGGGCTGGAGGGAGGGCCGGCCCGGGAGGGGGCGCTCCTGCGCCCCAAGGCCAGGCCGCGCTTGCGCACTGAGCAGCACCCCTCCACTCGCCCGCCTGACTTCCCCCTTCCCCTGCCCCCTGCAAACGCACAAGGGGGGGGTGGGTGCCGCGCGCATGGCCGAGCCACGTGACCCTCAGGCCCTGCCCCAAGATGGCGGCAGCGACCGGTTTAACGGTTCCTCCGAGCTCGAGCTCCTGGCCTGTGGGGCTCTTTCTCCCCGCCCCCTGACCCTCCGCCAGGTGCGGGTCTAGTCTCGAGGCCAGGTCCGACGTGCCCTCTCCCGCTTTTCCCCTTCCCTTCATCCTGGCTCCACGGTCGGCGCTAGGAGGCGGGGCCAGCGCGCCGCGCTATCGACGGGCAGCCGCCGTAGCCAATCCACTCCTGGACGTGCCTCTCAGGGGCGGGGCTCGCCGGCGCTCCGTCTTCGCGTCGGGTCCTTTGGCTTTCGGGAGAGGGGCGGGAGCGACCTGGGTGGTGCCCCGCTTCCTTGAGCAGACCAATGGGAGGGAGAAGAGGTGCCCTTGGAGGGGCGGGGCCGAACCGTAATTGACGAGCGCTTCCTTAGGAGTCCGGGTGGAGGGAGGGGCGGCGAGGGGGAGGTGACGCAAGCCCAGGCAGGCCAATAGACGGCGGGCTGCGGGCGGCGGGGGCGGGGCCGTAACTCCTGATGGACGGCGCGGGCGGCCTATGGACGAGCGGCGTGGTGGGGGGGGCCCGAGCCTTCTGGTTCAACGTGGGTCAATTTTTTGTGAATGAGGAGGGAGGTTGTGGGGCTGCCGTCGCCGCCGTGGTGGGGAGCGAGCCAGTGCCCGAACGCCCCAGCCCCACCACCGCCACCGCCTCCGCCTCCGCAGCCCAGCCCGGCCCGCTCCGAGCCCCGAGCCAGGAGCCCGGAGCTGCCGCCGCCGCCGCTCCGAGCGCCGCCCCGGGCCCGGCCCGCCCGGGGAGATGCGGCCCCAGAGGGAGGCGATGCCCGAGCCGCGGCCGCCGCCCCGGAGCCCGCCCCGGTAAGTGCAGGGCAGCCTCCCGGGCCATTGTCCGCCTCCGCCCCGTGCCCACGGCGGGCCGGGCCCCGCGCTGCCCTCCCTCCTCCGAGACAGAAAGACAGACAGACACAACCCGGCCCGGGACAGAGACACCCCCCCCCAGCCTCGAGGCCCCTCCCCAGCCCCCGGCTCCCTGCGTCCCCCTCTTCCAGACGGAGACCCCATCATCCCCCTCCCCCCCGCCGCGGGTCCTTCTGTTCCTCTCCCCCCACTTGTCATCCCCCCTGCCCCCTCCCCCAGATCTGCGCCCCTCGGTCCCTTCCTCCGAGCTTGTCATCTGTGCCCCCTCCACCCCTAGGTCTCCCTCATTTCCTTGTCTTCCTGGGGTTCCTGCGATGGCTCGGGCCCCTCACTCCCAACCCTGCAGTGGGGCCCTCCAGCCCCCACCCTCCCTGCCCGGGCCGGCCCTCTCCCGAGTCCTGCTGCTGCGCCAGCAGGTTGGAGAGCATCCTGCCAGGAGAGGGGGCGCCCCCCGCCCCCAGCCCTCCTCCCCGCCGTGCTTAGAACGGAGCAATTTTACAATTAAATGAGAGATTCTCCTGGCAAGCCCCCGCCCTGGCCAGGATCGGTGACCCCAGCTCTTGTCTGGTGCCAGATGTAGTTTGGGGAGACCCCTGCCCTCCGCCAACCCTTCCCCTCTTGCGCTTGAGAGTCGGGGGTCTGTGGGGCTGCTGAGTCCAAGCCTGAAGCTCTGGGCAGATTGAGGACGGAGATAGGTAACTGGTTGCCTGGCGTGGGCTCCCCAAACCGGTTTGGTTTGGCGTGTGTGTGTTGTGTGTGTGTGTGTGTGTGTGTGTGTGTGTGTGTGTTGGGGGAGTGCTGAGGAAGGAGGTTGCAAATGGGGAGGCCTTGCCACTCTCTCGCTCTGCCCCAGACTGCAGAGGAGTGAGCGTCTGGCTGGAGAAAGACTTCTTTGGGAAGGCTGACCCATCCTTTGGGATCTTGGCTGCCTCCAGGAGAGGGCTGAGCAGCCGGGACCCCCACGGGTGCACAGTTAAGGGCTTTGATGCGGCTTGGGGGGGGGGGCGATGGGGAGGGGAGCTAAGCCCACAATAAGAAACTGCAGTTTAGAGGCTTAATTTTGTCGGAATGGAAAAAAGGAGCGACCGCTGGCTGAAGTCGCTGCAGCGGAATCCATCCCTGTGCCAGGGCCGGGAATCTGGGGGAAGGCTGTAAGGCTGCAGCTGTAGGGGGCCTGGAGATTATGCAGCTGGACCCCTCCCCTCCCTGGGAAACTGAGGGCCTTGAGAGGGGCCTTAGGACAGCCAGCCAGGAGGTAGCAGGGCCTGAGGCAGCCCAGGATTCATCAGAGCCAGGAAGGAGGGTTGGGTTGCCTAGAAGGCCTGTGTGGCTTTCATTCTGCATGGTTTTCTCAGCCCAGGGATGTTGCTGGCTTCGATTATATTATCTGAACTCCTCTGGCATTTCAAAAACACAACATGAAATTAGAGGCAACTTATCTTTTGTTTCCTCTGTACACAGACAGATTGGCCACTGGAATAGCTGGAGACCTTCTATGTGCCCTAGAAGGGCCTGCCTCAGAAGGAAGGCCCATCAACAATTTCTAGTAACTTGTCTCACTGATTAGGAAGGTTCCTTTTATTGGGTGGCTGGAAATTGACCTGCTGTGACACAATTTTCAAATAAAGCTTTGTAGAAATTAAACTTAAGTTATTTTAAACTAATGACTTTCTTAACTAAATCTTAATTGCATGACTGCAGAGACCAACCTAATTGCCTAATGAAAAAAATGCCTGCTGGTTCTAAGGTAGGGAGTGCGTCCCGTCAGCATCACCATTGCCGGTGGTGACGGCTCGGGCCTCGGTCTCTTCCACCTGCCCCTCCAATGGCCTTTCTGGTCCGACCACAAGTCCCCCGAAAGCGTTGGAGAGCCCAGCGCCTTTAAAGAAAACAGGCTGGGCAGAAGTAAACAAACAAACTGACCAGCCCGCCAAGCAGCCCTGCCTGTCAGCCGGTTCAGGAGTGGCTGCTGCCCGGCCTCCCCCACCCCCTTTTGTAATAGGATCGGGCCCAGGCGCTTGCCTGGAGTTTTAATTGTTTCTGATAATTCTGTGCCTTATTTTAGGGGCTTTAGATTCAAAGCCGCTGTTGTGGTTTCTGAGCCTCAAACTTAATGGGGGGGGATGGAATGAAGAAAACTCAGCTGCATGTGTGCAAATAGTCACCGCTGCAATTACGAGACAACAAAAGTTATGGCAGCATTTTGCGGTAGCTATGGCAACACGTTTACTCGATTATAATTGGAAATGCAAAATGCCACCCAGTCAGAACTTTTGGCAGTTGTAGATTTGGGGGTAAGCTACATCTAGAAGTAGGCCTTTCTCTCTTCTCCTCTCAGGCGCCAGAGGGGCCCCCCCAAAGGGACATCAAGGTCTTTCTCCTTTTTTTCTCTTTATTATACTTTCTGAAAGTTCTGTGGTACATCATATGCAGAACGTCCCTCCTTTGAATTGGTGGCACCGGAGAGCTCAAATATGTGTGGGAGGGAAGGAAGTATTTTCATGCCTTAGATTTTTTTTTAAAGACTTGGATCTCTGCTCTAGGCTTTTGTTTTAAGGATCAGATTCCCTTGCACAAAGTGAGCATCGGTGAACCGGGAGGACACTGGGGGTGGGGGGTCTGGCTTCTTGTGCCTGCTCTGTCATTGTTACCTTGCTCGAGGGCCCCCCCCCACTTGCTGGCCTCACTCCCCACCCCGTCAAGTAAAGGGCGTGTGCTGAGTGCCCTCCAAAGGCCCGGAGGGGAGATCCCAGCGCGGATCTCTGGCTAGGAGCTTGGCCTAGCGGGCCATTGCCCCTGCTTCATCCTTTCATCCTCCTTCTCCAGCCAGGTGAAAACCTAGCGAGGCAGGCGAGGGTGTGCTCTGGTGGAGGGAGGGGCCGGCTGCCTCCGTGGAGGATGGAAGGCCCAGGCTGGGAGCATGAAGCAGATGTGGCCCAACATGCCTGAGCACATCATTTTGTGTGGTCAGCAGGAGAGCGGCTCTGCCGAATACAGGCTACAAATGTCACGCTCCTCTGAGGCATCCAGAGGCCAGAAACTCCAGCAAGGGGGATTCTGAGTCTGTGATGGTGAACACATGGCCCTGGACCCCCCTCCTGAGGTGGCTGCTGGGCCCTGAGGAGCCTGCTGACCCAGCAGGAGCCCCGGAATCTAGGGTTCGAGGTCATTTACGTTTGCCATCAGTACTGGTTTCGATGGCCTTTTGACTGTTTGAGCTTCATGGTTGGGAGGTTTCAGTTCACGAAAGAACGGCTTTGAATGAAAGCCCTTTGATGCTCGGGGGTGGGGGCAGAAGGAAATGAGGCTCGGTGCCGTCTGAATTTCCACAACAGAAGAAACATGTTGTCGCCCATGTAGAAGCCATCGCTCTGTTTTCTATTGAAAACGGCTGGACCCTCGTCCCCTGAAAGCTGCCCCAAGGAACAGATTGGTTCATGATGCAGTGTGCTCTGGAGAACAGGCGCTGCCCGAAAACGAGAGGAAAAGACCACCAGCTGGGGTCTCAGTTTCTTTCCCTGTAAAATGAGGAGGTTGGAAGAGCTGAATAGAAGTCCTGGGTTCAGATGTTGCCTTAGACACATGATAGCTGGGTGACTCTGGGCACTCAGGGCCTTTCCATCTGGGCCTCAGTTTCCTCCTTTGTTAGATGGCGGGCTTGGACTATCCAGATGGCCCCAGAAGCCCCTGCCAGCTCCAGGTCCCTCCACCTGGGACTCCCTGGTCCAGCGTCAGTGTGAATGTGGCCCTTTCGCACACTTTGGACCCGTCTCATTGGTCAGCCATCTGGGAAAAGCAGAGGGGTGGGAGCCCATGGAGGAGCACTGCAGAGGAACAGAATCAGTCAGTCAGCATTTATTAAGCACCTACTATGTGCCCGGACTCCTTTGGCAGAGAAAGAAACTGAGGTGCAGAGAGGGAAGGTGCTGTGCACAAAGCCACCGAGGTGGTGAAGGATTCAGAGGTCAGCTCCATCAGGGGCAATGTAGTCTGACCTCCCCATTGTACAGAGGAGGGAAGGGCCTTAGCCAAGGCCAGACACAGACCGTGGATTTGAACCCAGGCCCCAGAATTCCATGTGTGTTTCTCTCCTGGTTGGTTGGGGGGGGGCTTTCTTTCCCCTGCTGAGCCCCGCTTTCTCCAGTTTAGAGGCAGAATGGTGGCAGTCTTGGCACAGGCTGAGGATAATGGGGTCTAATTTGTGACACAAATTGTGAGCCCCCAGCTTTGTCGGTCTGCAGAGTGGGGTCGTGGGGTCACAGGCCTAGAGCTAGACGAGGCCTCAGAGGCCGTCTAATGCCCCCTGCCATTTGACAGAGGAGGAAACTGAGGCCCCCCCACCCCCAGAAGGTGCAGAGGCTCTGACCTGAGGCCTGTAGGTTTATTCACTGTGGAGTGCCTTCCCCGTCCTGGGACGTTTCTGTGGATGCGTCCGCTGGGGGCCAGGCCTGCTGTTTGAAGAAAGACCTGGGCCGACCAATTGGCTTTTTTCAGTTGGTTCCCAGGAGTGTTTCCTTTGCATTTCTGTGCCTTCCTCAAGACAAGCCCGTCGGTCAGCAAGTGCTCTGTACTATGCGCTCTGCTAGGTGCTCAGGATACGGAGAAAAGCAAAAACAGCGCCTGCTCTCAAGGGGGGTCCCAGCTTAGTGGAATCCACCGTGGGATCGGTGCAGCCTAGGACATCCTGACTTTTTAGAGAGGAGAGGAGAAATCGAGGCGGTGCGGTAGGGAGAGACTATCCTGAGGCCCGGAGTCTGAGTTCAGATCTTCAGTCTGCTCCTTGGGGGACACTTCCTTGACCTCTCTGGGCCTCAGTCTTTTCATTGGAATCCAATCATCCCGACACTAATCATCCTGGCCCGATCTCCCACTGAATTTGGTGGCCCCTCCTATAATATCCCAAAGACCAGGTCCTCCACTCTCTGCTTGAATACTTCTAG